GCCCAAGCAACCTGATCCTGCTGGCTCTGCATTCTGAATCCGCAACTGCAACTGAGCTTGTGCGTGCGCCTGCGCCTTCACACGGCTCGCCCCGCCCCCTTCTCTCCGATGCCACGGATCCTGCGGCCACACCCACCCACGCACCCTCTTCGCATCTCTTTTCTCGCCCGTCTGGGGGTCGGGGATCCATTTATCCTTTCCCTCGGGAAGGACATGCTGGCGTGGTAGAACGCCGGATCCGCCAACATTTAGGTACCAGGAGGGTTGTGTGGGGAGGGGTTCGGATTTGGACAGGAAAAGGAGGAAGTAGAGGGCTAGGGTTGCAGTGAGGGGGGTTTTATGAGACGGCGATGAAGGTGAGGTTGAGCGGGAGTGGGAGGATGAAAGGGGAGGAGGGGAGGGAGAGGGAGAGTGGCTGGATGATTGAGTTGAAGTTGCGGAGTGGGAACGGTCCATGTTTGTATTAAGATTGTGTGGTGAGGGTGGAGAGTAAGTTTCCGATGAGAGATTCGTCGGGATCGGTGCGGCTACTTCCAGGTAGCCGAAATAGGGTACATTATCGCCCTCGTCGCATCCAGCGCGGACGCAGACGAGTTCGATCTCGGTCATGATGAAGCCGTAGCGGCAGGAGTGATCGCGCATGCAACGTTGGAGATGCGCGAGGCCGTTCAGGTACTCGACGCGCTTGTGCGGTTGTTGGTTGCGCATGCCGCTGTTCCAGCAGTCGAAGCTTTTGACAAGGCCTACGAGGCGCCCGCGTTTGGCGCCCGAGGACGTCTGCGCTGTATCCGTGTTGTAGTTGGCAATGAAGTGGGGGCCACTTTTGCTGCGGTTACCTGTTAGAAAGGCCTCGGGGGTTGGTTTGAGGTGAAGGCAAAAATCTTTGCCAAGGGAGGTTTGGAGGGCCGCGTTGACGCGTGGTGCGTAGATGTCGCGGATTAGTTCAGAGAGCGAACCTTCGGAACTTGGGAAGAGGCGAGAAGGAGAGACGGTGGAGAGGGGGTGAGTGTCTTGGGAGACTTGGGTGGTGAGGAGTTCCGTTAGATTTGGGATGGAATGGATGGTGGAGAGGGAGAAACTGGTCCAGTTTCTCAGGTTTCGGATGTCCCACCAGAAATGCTGTTGTTGGCCACGACCTAGAGGGACACGGACTTTGCTCACTAAGTTGATGGCTTGGGTGGGTTCTGTCAAATATTTGAGGAGAGTGGTGGAAAGTTCCAGGTCGCCTGAGTCCGAGTAAGGGGAAGTACTAATGAGAGCTGGGGCAGGGAGAAGTGAAGACACAGATGTCACAGGGCTTTCGAGATAGGGGTATGAAGGCAGTGGGAGCGGGGAAGGCTCCAGTTGAGGTGCAGCCTGTTCATTAAAGGGTGGATAAGACATGGAGAGATGAGATGTTGCTGAAACCGGGGCCGTAGGGCTATACTGAGACACATATCTCGGAACATTTCTGTAGGTTGGATATGCGTAGCGGCCCCAAATTGACTCGTCGATGCTGCTGGTGGAAGTCGAACGAGAATGGCTACGGCCTGAAAGCCTTCTCGAATGAGACGGGGTTAGGGTAACTGGTGATGAAAGGGTCGAGGGGCCCCTATTGCCAACCACGGAAGAAGCGGAGATTGGTGAAACCGTGGAACAGTCAATTAACGAGGCCAGAAATAATCGCGCTTGGGATCGATTGGCCGGGTAGGGAACGAATCCGGGGGGTTTGCGGACATTGAGCGAGGTCTTGCGGGCTCGGATAGGTCCACTGCAGGACACAGGCTCAACCGTAAGATCCTGTGGTCTGATTCTAGGAAGTAGAGCAGGCCCATGCTGGCGGAGGACAGGGGACCGGTTCGGGGTGGTGAGGTTGCTGATGCCAGACTCCGGAGTCGAGTTGTTAGAGGAACTCGAGTCCGCGCGGGCATGAATATAATTATGGTTATTACGGCTGACGGTAAGATACCCAGAAGCCGGCATGGAAGGGGGTGTTGAAGGCCTGTAGTGATATAATTCCAATGACATTGTTGCTGCGTCATTGTGTCAGGGACAGCGTGCCAAAGGAAGAGGTAATTAGAGGTCACGAGACCGGGAGGAATATCCTCAGAACATACCAAATGATGACAAAACTATTGAAAAAAAGAGTCCCTTGACTCCCACACGAAGGAAAGAAAGTGTAAGATGTGGTGTATGCCAGCAAAGACGAAACAACGACGAAGATTCGTTGTAAGAAGCTCAAATTTTGAAGTGGGGATATAATTAATTTGAGAAATTAGATGAGGTAAGGTGTAAAATGGGAAAGGTGGAAAGCCAGTAAAAAAAGTAAGAGAGGAGAACTAGATAATCGAGACCAAGTGGAAGACTTGCTTCACTGCTTGACTAACTGTTGATTGAATGTCTGAATGAATGTTTGAATATTTCTGGAAGAAAAACAAGTGGATTGGGCTGGGTATTAAATCTTCTCCGACAGACGTGCCGCGACGAAGAAGTGTGGCCATCCACCATATCGCGCAGAGGCAGTGATAGATGGATGAACATGAAACATGATCTAAATAAAACAGTTAAAAATAAGCAGGTAGCGCGCCTAAGCTAAGGAGCAGGTGTTTGAGGATTGACAACTGTTCTTTTTCTTTTTCTTAGCCTCCGATCATCGTTAAAGCTCACGCGGGTATGATCCTGACGCGAAAAGGGACTGGTTAGCTATTAAAGGGCGGTACGGGGTTAAGGTGGCTTGGAAAGCAAGCTTCGATGCGTCTCAGATACGCGCATGGTTATTATGAGCTGCATAACGGTGAAATCATTATTGAGGACCGTGTAATATTTGGCAGCTTCAGTGTTTATTGATGATGCTATTTTCAGGTACAGCGTCTGATGAGACCGTACCAGAGATAAGTATTTGTGTACGGTTAACTGCAAATCTCCAGGCGCCGGAGAGTCGGCTGGCGGCAAACTGGAACATGGGTAATCAGACGTAGAAAATGAGCGCAGAAAGTGAGAAACACTTTGCAACTCTGACATTTGTCTGGCAATGTCTGGCACGGTGTGCTAATTTCTCTTTTCCATCCAGAGGGCAAAAGTGATGGTGGGCCGCGTCTCCTATTGGTGGTAAATGCTGGTACAGAAGTTCCTTCAACCTGTAGCAGTTGGCGCCTTGGTGAACGTGGGACTTCCCAGTCAGAAGCCGTGGTTGACCGGTGCTGCTGCAAGTCACAGCGACAAAAGGTAGCAACGAGACGTCAGAACACGCACAGCGACAAGAGCCAGCGGCAGGCAACGTGAGTGGTGTATTGCTCACTGGAGACCTGTTTGATCAGGTTGGGGATGTTGGAAGTTTGGGGTCTGCGCGGTTGCTGGGCCTTGAAGGGGGTGATTGGTCAGCAGCAACTCTCTTCCTCCATGTACTAAAACGCGTGATTCATCCCAACCCTAGCCCTACTCTGCCTGTTCTGGCTTGGGCGAAGGCCGACCTGAAGGAGCAACGTTCATCAGAGCGTGATGAAACTTGAAACTTGAAACCATTTCTCTGCTCGCTCGTATGCGTGCACTAACCTAGCTCAACCTGACGCGACTCGACCGTCTGTGTGCACGTCAAGCGCTCTTCCAGCGCGTGGAGCCCTTCAATTGGCCACTACCCCCGTCAAGAGGTCCTTTTAAAACATGTTTCATCTTTGCCCTATGTATAACTAACTGGTCTAGCGGTGAGTCATCTTTTGTGCATAACTAGTTATGGCAGATGGCGTATATCATCATTCAAGATCCGTCCATGGCAATAATCCATTCCCATGTCCTCTGTGGCTCTACCCTGTCAGTAGTCGCTCGTCGCGCCAGAAATCATCCCCCATGGACACAGACACACCTATTGAAACTGTTTCAGGATGTGCGTTCGTGCTTCCAAGTCTCGACCGGACAGAGAGGGATGTGTTGCGATAGAACTTGGCGTGTACTTCTACAAGTTCGGATCTTCAAAGGGCGGTTATTCATTGGTCATCCCAGAGACGGAGGAATGCAGGTAGTAACATCCGTCCCCCTCAACATGCGGTAAAGAGAACGCGTCGAATTTCAAAGCGGGGGAATGAGCGATATTGCGAGAGAAGTCGTTGGCAAGAAAGGTAGAGGCGAATGCCCCAGTGCCACCAGGACACTCTTGGAGAGAGAGAAAGAAAAAGAAAAAAAAGAAAAAAAAAAATCAGATCAAGTTCTTAAATTACTCCCCCACAACGGAGTCGTTAGGCCAGAGCCCAACCGGGAAAACCCTCAAATGCTCTAGTTCTAGCCTTCACGTCTGAAGCAGTGACTAATCTTCCAAAGATGGTGGAAATCTACGGTCACCGTAGACCAATTATCATTAAGCCACCCAAGACCCAGATCCTACAATGTAGTAGATGCTGGGGCTTCTACCCAGAGAGATACTGCAACCACAGCCTCCGCTGCAGAAGGTGCAGCACTGAAGACCACCCGGAAAGACACCTGACATGTCACAAAGAGGAGAATGAGGTCTGTGGATTCCCCGACCGCTGCACCAATTGCTTCGGCCCTCATGCTACAAATGACCCTCTCTACCCAGCCCGGCCGACGGTGAAGAATGGAATAATTCAGAGACATTTCAAGATTCTGGCGCAAGGATGCCTGGGAGCTTCCGGTGTGAAGTCTCGTACGATGCAATGATAGCTTGTCTTCAAGATGGCTCAGTGATAGCCAAACGAGGCAGAAAATCCCAAGAATCTCTCAATGGCAAAGCTCAAAGTGACTCAGTACTCTTATGCTGTTGCTCTTGGTTGGAGAGCTCACACAAGCCATTCTAAAGCAGTTAAGCCAGCCCGAATACTCGCCCGTCTACCCGCAGATCATCCAGCCCGTAAGGCAAGCCCCATTGCCATTCTTGAGAAACTGAGAACCGAACTGGCGGAGCCTCTGGCAGCAGCAATCAAGAAAGTACAGCACAATCCCACTAGAATAACTATCGCAGCACATAATCCGCAGAGTTCAGAGATATTATCTTTTCTCTGCTTCATTTTCATTTCTGGTCAAAGACTGATGCTCAGCTCATATATATAGAGACGACCACAGATTACTATTCATTGACACATCCAATTACTCCCTGCCAAAGGGAATACGGTTCATGTGAGATTATCTTACGGTCCTCGGCAAGGTGTGTGGCCTAGAGTCAGCGAATGGGCCGGTCAATAGGCTATTCCCAACTTGACAATGCGAGAAATGACCGTCGCCTCTCCACAGACGGCCTGACGCACCTCTTAGCATTCACAAGTATCAAGCTTACCGCCAAATTATCAAAATCGAAGCAACGTCATGGTTGGTGATTGATTTGACCCGGGTGTCTGGAACACCAATAGGAGCTACTCCCGAACTAGGCCAGCAACTAACCTCCCTTTATTTTTGAGCGACCGGCGCATCGGATTCATGAGCTAATTCGCTGTTGATGACAGCGGTATGAAACTTAGCGAACCCATAATCCTTAAAAAGGACGCCTGATTTTGAAGAGTTGTGTGGAAATATGCTATCATCGAGGCAATGTATTTGCTTTTTTTTACCGCATGACTTGGCAACTCTTGCAGCCTAGTTGCTAGTTACGCTCTGACGGAGGTTAACTTTTCGCCATATCTGGGGCAGAAACTCGATTCGCCGTCCGATTATTGGTAGACGCTGCAGAAAACGTTTGGACCAAGGAGAGGCTCGCGGGACGGGCGGGATGAGATGAGCCTTAGCTCTCGCTAGCAGCTTCAACATATATATATGCCAAGGCGCTAACCCAAACCGAAACTCTCAGAGGTTCTCCGTTCTTGATCCTGTAGTGAATAGGCGGGCAGGTCGGATTGAACAAAAAGCAACGATATTTATCGATTTAAAAGAGCGTGCGAGGCTAAATACAGAGGATACAGCACAATTGAAACTGACTAATCAAGGATTGTAACTAACAAATCCATTGGGACTACGCCATTTCCTGTGCAGAAGAAAGGCCCCAGGAGTTGAGGATGGAACATGCGAATGCGGCAGAGGAAATCAGACAGTGGCACATGTACTGCTTAACTGTATCAAGCACATAAGTCTCCGGAGGGACCTCTGGGTAGGGGAAAGAACTACAGACCTTCGGAAAATGCTCTCAGATCCAGATATGGCGGCTCGAGCCGCCAATTTTATGCTCAAAACCAAACTTCTTGGGCAATTTGGGAGTTTACAGGACCAAACTGTCAAGCAATGAGTTCTTAATTGTTTCCAGGCACTCAATAGCTCGCGCTGCAGCAATATGTGTGGGCAAGGTAAGAAGGATATGACAGCTGCAAAGCAAAATCCAACTGACAACCAATGTCTTTTCTTATGTTATTTCCTTATATCTATTCACTGACAACCAATGTCTTTTCTTACGTTATTTCCTTATATCTATTCACCCAATTCTTCTTCGGCACCACACAGGTGGCTGCCACCACCTGTGCAGTGATTTAATCAAAATCTTGTAATTAGTGATTTCTTTTAAGTTTTGCGGGCGTTGGACGGATTAGGACTAGCTTATTCCCGCATAGCGGCCTTCGAGGCGGCTGGGTCGGTGTATGAAGTAATCAATCAATCATAACAAATCCATTGGCGCCCCCCGGGCTGCGCTGCGTTGGTGGAACCAAGTTCAAGGAGCAAAGTGCGCCTTTCGAATGTGGACAATTCAGAGTTTTTGTTTTGTGCCTTAAAAATCCTTTGTAATCCTTCATCGATAACTACTTCCCAGCCTTTTCTATGGCGTGGTGCATTCCAAGGGCAAGAAGGTATTCGATGCATGCTTTTTGATTGCTCTGGTCGCGCATATAAGTGTGAGCAGGTTCTCCATTCTCATCCAAAGAATCGAGCTTTTGACGTCTACCTCGCACGGTAAAGACCTAAAATCTCATTCCAGTGTCATCACGCCTCATAAAACTTCTTGCTCATTTACCCTGATGCCAGGTGCGAAAATAAATCCTATGTCGTGAAACGCTTAACCCCAGATGTATTTAAGCAGTCTTTACAGCTCAAAATCGAGTTTGCAGATACTCATCGCCTGCCAATGCACATTGACTACAACAAAGAGGAGCACACCCTCGTTTACGAATACTTCAGGAACGACCTGCTTTCTTTGGTGAAGGATAACCCGAATTTTCCCCTTGCTGCAAGAAAACAGATTCTGTGGGAAGCTGGGAAAGCACTCAAGAAGTTGCACGCAAGGAACTGGATACATGTAGGCAGGCCGCCATGAAATTTGACTGTCTAAAGCTCTTTTTGTCGATCGAGTACTAGATGTTGAAGCCTGACAATGTCATGGCCAACTGGAGCCTTGACTAACAGGGCCGGGTCAGCATAGACAGAATGGCCTTGGCTGATCTAGACTACGGTTTGAAGGTGAAAGACAGTCAGTTTCTCCGGCTCCCCGGTGCACAGAGAATAGGAAACCCCACGTGGCGTAGCCCAGAAGCGCAAACGGGGAAGGGAATCCATAAAAAGTCGGGTGTGCTCTTGTGGGGAGTTGACTCGGTTGCAGCAGAAGAACATTTGCTTATCACCACTATCCTATTGCCTCTATACAATCACGGGGTTGGAGATTCTGCACGTGGATTTCCAGGAGCTAAGGGAATCAGGTTTCACGCCAGGATAGGCCGTTTTGACTAGAACGCTCGTGTTCGTTGGTCCACTTCCGCAAGGACTCCTGACGCAAATCAATCATGAGGTGTGGGAGGGTCTGTTGATGGGACTGTCGCAACTAGTAGAGGAAGGTGGAGATTCAAGCAAGTCTTTGAAGCATTGGGAGCAGCAAGACTTTTCCCGAACCTTGATGCTGAAACAAAGAGAATGTTATCTAGGGTGCTCAATCTTGACCCTGCACAGAGAGCGAATATGGATGAGGTCTTGCAAGACGATTGGTGGGGGGACAAGTCGATGATTTCGGCTAGCATTGAGACACTCCCGGTGAGCAGCATTCACAAAGCAGCTGATTGACACGCTGTCTATTCGCTAGCTACCGTTCGAGCGAAGAACCTGAACAGCGGAGGGAGGTTCGGCGGTATTTATATGCGTTAAAAGCGGCGAGGAAGGCAATTGACGCTAGCCGGATCGGGGGCCGTAACCACTATATACATCGTTTTATATATAATAATTTGGTATAACTCTCAAATGCATATAGATTGAAATATCTGATACTTGATATTCTTCTCTCACTAACTGGGTGAGTGACAAGGTTGCCAAATATTTCAGCAGAGGCACTGTATAGTTATTCAAAGGACTATTAATAAAAATAATAAACCGTAATCAACATGCGCGGCTTTTGCTTATCATCTTCTGCCGCTTCCCTCCGCTCCAAGTTGGTATGGAATGTTCCTCTATGCCGCCGACTCCCATCTAGAAGAGAATAACAAAAAAAAAAAAAAGAAAAAGAAAAAGAAAAACCTCAGAAACCTTTCGCGAATTTCAACAAACGGGGAATCCAATGGAGAAACGAAAAACAAAATGAAGAAATATGCACTTCAAGGGCGATATTGTGAATGGATGATGCGAACTCCTAGCTAGGAGGGTTTGGCCAGCCCGGGTCTATATACCTATATACGTCCCTCGTCCAGTCCCCACGCCAATCCCCCCCCCAACGTCAATCTTCCCCCAACCCTGGTGCTACCTTCTGCTCACTCTCATTATTTCAGCCTAGCCACTCTATTCCATCTATTGTTACAACCAATTTCATGTTTACCTCATCTCTCGTCTCTTGGGTTTTAAGAAAACAGGCTATGCCTTGATCTCGTACTCGCGTCGGAACATGTCATCCACCTTGGTCAGGTAGTAGGTTCCAGAGACGATGGTGTCCGTGTTCCCCGCTGGGACAAAGTCCTTCTTGAGATGAGCGTGTTCGCGCATAAGGCACATCTATCGTTTAAAACCAGAGTGTTTTTGTGAGCATTCCAACTCAAAAAAGCGTTTGTGTTGAGGGAGTAAGCAGCAAATGTTCATGCAGGGGCGGGGAAGGATGGACAATCTCAATCTCACCTGATTATACACCTCAGGCGCCACAGTCTTCCGTGCCGCGAGCCTCTTCTTCAAATCAATCTTCTCCACAATAGTCGACACGTCCCCAACAACCTTGACACTAAACATCGAGCTCGCCAACCCACTACCATAGCTAAAGATGCCAACCCTCTTCACCTTCTCCGCCGGATCGAAAGTCGCATTCGCCAAGAGACTCACAAGACCCCCATAGACGCTCGCGCAGTACATGTTCCCGCACATCGTCGGCACTTCGATGGATGGCTGCACGCGCTCGCCAAACCGCTTCTTCGTCAAGGCCATAAACGCTTTCTCCACGTTCCTGTCGCTAAGGGACGCTTCGTAGTCCAGATCTCGGAGCTCGGCGGGGACTTCAGCGAAGGCTGGGTGGGCGGGATCGGCAAGGAAGTCATTGTATAGCAGGCGTGCGTAGGACTTGGCGACGAGCTTGCATGTTGGGGCGTGGAAGATGACATGGTCGAAGCGATCGAGGGGGGTGTTGGAGTCATCGTTGTCCCCTGTGGCAGGTGCCGCCCCGTTGCCATTTACGCTGTTGCTGTTGCTGTTGCTGTTGTTGAAAGCATGGCCATTCTGCTGGTGCGTGGATTGAGCTTTCAGGACCTTCTCCCTGGCATTGTAGGCCTTGTAGCACGAATCGACGGCCTGTGTGTAGCATCTGATGGAATAGTGGCCGTCGACGTATGGGTATTCGCTGGTGAGATCTGGTTTGTAGAAGTCATATGCGTGGGTGATGTGGGAGCCGCGGAGACCGGGTTCGAAAACAATGGGTGCATCGGGCCCAATGAGCATGGCGATGCAGCCCGCGCCACCGGTGGGACGGGCAGCGCCCTTTTTATACAGAGCGATATCACCCGTGACGACGACGGCATCTCTGCCGTCCCAGGCGGACGACTCGAGCCAGTTGATTGAGTTGAAGACGGCATTTGTGCCGCCGTAGCAGGCATTGACGGTATCGACGCCTTCGACGTTTGTGTTTCCGGACTCAGCGAAGAGTTGCATCAGGACTGACTTGACGGATTTGGATTTGTCGAGGAGGGTCTCTGTGCCAACTTCGAGGCGGCCAATGGACTTGGGGTCGATTGAGTACTTGCGGAGGAGGGAGGAGAGGGTCGTTAGGGACATGGAGTAGATATCTGCAGTGTCCAGCACCTTGTAAGCCAAGGGGAACCAAGTGTTGGATGGGAGGGTGGAAAAGAAACGAAACCAAAAAATTTCAAAACTGCAAAAAGATATATATGGTGTTTCTCATACCTTCCCGGTCGTCACAGAAGCTCATCTTGGTCTGTCCCAGGCCGATGGTATATTTTCCCTGACCGACTCCATCGAATTTTTCGAGTTCAGCTTGGTCTACGCACTGTGTACCTCCCACACCACAATCGTCAGTCCCCATGCTGTAGTTTCTAGCTTGCGTGGAATGCTTTTAGGCGACAAAACCACGACAGAGGGTCTCCAGCACTTACCTGAGACGGAAAATAGATCTCAATGGCCTTGATGCCGATGTTCTGAGGGCGGGAGGACATTTCTGTTGTATACGGATTGTTGTATTATGGGGGTGCAGGCAAAAAAGGAGGATTTGATTTTGTTGGGTAGGAGGGCGAAGATAAAATGGTATCAAAGGAAGAAACAGAGAGGGAGACTTGAGGGTAATATAGTAGTAGTAGTAGTTGAATGGTGTCTAGGGGTATTCAGGGCGGAATGGGTGAGCGAAAAGGCTGTGTCGATGTCAACCAAAATAAAAAAAAAAGTAGCTCCGATTTCTGTGGATGCCCCGAAGGTATTCAGCACTGGTTGCTGGTTGCTAGTTGCTGGTGCTGGTTGCTGGTGCTGGTGCTGGTTGCTGGTTGCTGGTTGCTGGTTGCTGGTTGCTGGTTGGCTGGTGGACGAAAGTTTACTTGAAGCGGCCAAAGCGAGAATAATCGTACCACGGGTGGGAGGAGGAGGGAGGAGGAGGAGGGAGGAGGGAGGAACAGGATGCTAGGGGAATAGGGGGGAACAGGCAGATTGGGTTGAAGGGGAAACAAAAAAGAGTTCAATACCACCCAATTTTACCACTTCTTATTCTTCTTCTTCTTCTTCTTATTCTTCTCATTATTATTATTATTATTATTATTATTATTATTTTGCCTAGAGCAAAACTTTGCATTTATTGTCTCTACTTTGCCTTCTGGAGCCTAAACAAGCGATTTATACAGAGAGGAAGCGTAGGAGGAATAGTGGTAGTTTGTGAGGAAGAGATTGTTGTTGTCTGCAACGGAGGAGAACGGCTCAGTTGAGGACCGTGGGTGGTGTATTATGTCTCTATATTGGTTCGTAACAGATAGAACAGACAGCCCCATTCAGTTCTCCATGCTGTGATGTGGATTGCCCTTCACGGCCTTTTATTTGAACCTGCATTCTTCTCGCTCATCAAGCTACCATCGTTGTGCCCTACTCATCAGGAGCGGATGATATGATCCAGAGATACAATAGACCAAGCCACATCGCACCACCACCGCATACTATGTGACTAGTGCTAGGGCGACGAAAGCAAAAACTGCTGCCACGCCGACACAGATGCAGCATTAGTTTCGTTCTACCTGCTGGAGTGTGCTTGCTTATTCCAAATATCAAATCATCAATTGATGCTGGGCACATGGAAACATATCATGCCTACGAAGAAGGTATCTCGACATGATGCTGACATGGGCTTCGTGCAAAACGCTAGTTGACTACTGTAGCCGTTTCAACCTATGAATATTAGTTACTCCCATTACTACCAAATCTTTTGAACCTATGGATATTAATTACTCCCATTGCTACCAAATCAAACAGCAGTGTTTGAGGCCAAAAATCAGATAAGAAGAAAAACCCTCCACGAAGCGATTCCGAGAAAATAGACTTTTTCAGAGACTCCATTCCTTGTCTTATCTGATCATCCGAGGCCCCCTGGACTCTCCGTTTACCCACCCCCACCCCAACATTTCAATGTTGAAGTCTCAATCGTCGCCGTCATCGGCCGGCTTGCGTTCCGACGACCTGGTTTCCGCAAACGTTCTGCCACTCACGTTGTTGGCCCTGCATCCATGGATGGAATGGTTCCGGGTATCACGGCTATGGCAACGGGCAATCTTACAGCAAGGAACCAGGGGAGAGAAGGCCTCCTTTTATATTTGCTTTTCCCTTCTACTTGAGGATTTCTCCGAAGTCTAACTAGCTGAAGCAGTTTGTAACTAAGCAGTTGATGTTGTAGTTATTAACTTCGTTGCAACTGAAAAGTGAAAGTATATTTGTCCCCCCCTCCCACCCTCTTCAAACGCCAACAAATATTAATCTTGTAGGCTGGGTAAGTAGGCAGCGACATTTTTTATTCTTGCACGCTTGTTCCTCATGCTGCCATTTCAAGCTTCTTGTCGCTGCCTGACAGATCCATCTCCCGATCCTTCCCTCTCTCCCCAACTTGCAGTATCAGGCGGAGTTCCTGTTCATCGGGAAGGTTTCTGGTACGGTGGCTCTACGTCGCGGGGATGTCATGTACGGAAACCCTTCAACAAGGCTGCAATTCTGTGCTCAGCGGCCGATTCACCCATTCATCAAACCTATCCGCAATACCGATTGCGTTTTTCTGAGGGAAGTTTCCTTGTACCAAACAAAACTTCAAGCAGGACGGCTCATCTCACCACGTGCATACGTGCATACGTGCATACGTGCTCCGCTGGGAATGCATTTTCTTCTTTCTTTTTCTTTCTTTGTGGCTAGTAGCTCAATTGGATCAGGCAACCACATATACATAATATAAAGTACATTTACAGTACGGAGCGCATACAATCAAAACGATCTCCGTGCCCAAAATATCAATAAATTAGACGCTGGGCTACGTAGGAAGCGATCATCGAATTGGCGTCTTCCTCAGTCACGACTAACGTGACCGGTTAGGCTCGATGTCACCAATAAAAGCCCCAACGAGTTCCATGGGGGGATTTGCCGTCGATTCCGGCTATATAGAAGATGGTCAATTGGCAACATGGGAGTCAATTAGGCAGAATCTATTACATCACCAGGAATTTTCTTTCGGACCATCAGATAATGAGAGGGAGGAGGGGAAGGGGGGGGGGGGGGGGGGGAAGAGCTTGTGAGACTGGTAACAAACATCCAGAAGTCAGATGTTCCGAGGATTGCTGCAGTGCCCGGATCTGGCAACGGAATTGACGTCCATATTGCAGGGACCTGCAGTAGAAGGTAAGCCTTTCCTCACCATGAAGCTTTCCATACATATCAGAAAGTGAGCGCTCGGCGGTCATGATTTCGCGAAGGGCTGATTGTCTGTCTGTCTTGGGGTATATTGATGAATAATCAGAAGACGCAGTCGTTGTTGTGTTGTTGTCTTAAAAAGGAGCATGAAGAGTGGGACATCCCTTGAATTTCAATTGTGAGGACTGCAAAGGTGCCTGGGTAATGGAAATGCCCTTGATTTGAGTTAGCTGCAATCGTGTCATCGTCTCTGTGGGGATTCAAGATGAGGGCTTCTTATCGAAATCAAGATATCGGCCTATCAACGTAGGTAAACATCATCCAGAATTCTTGAGAAAGAAGAATCCATACAGAGCAGATTGTGGAGTATGGTATGGTGATGAACTGCTTCGAAGGGATGGGATGTGTTCGCATGTCCTTGGAGGCATCCTCACTGGCGGCGCATTTAACTTACATGAGAGAGTAAGATAAAGGGATACGCAGCAGTCACACATACAGCAGAAGAGGCAAGCAGGTGCAGTGTAACCCGACAATGCTTTTCATAAGTACGCACATTGATGATTGATTTTGATGATGCATCTGTGGATGACGGGCTGGGTCAAACCTTGGAGCAAAAGTGACACAAGTCAGCAATAGTGGCGCATGCCTTGGTTTGGTGGCTTCTTGGGCCCTTGGTAAATTTTCCGCTAGTGCCTTGTCGGAGGCTCCAAGGCGAAACCAACGACAACTCATCATCCCCCTTGGAACTTCCAAGGCCATCCATCGGAGATGGACATCTATTGTAAACCCGTTACCAGATCTCACCTTATCAACACACACACACGCGGGCTTGGGTCTCGCCATATCTCCTTTACCTGCCTGGACTCTCCTTCGCCTCGACGACTGCTCGACCACGTTCTCATGTATCATGCGGTCTCGATGACGGGAACAATGTCATGATACCACCGCACATCTCCAGACCTCCTTGATTGAAAGCTCTCGTCCCTTGATCCTTCAGGGGAATCCAGGGGCCTCTCAGTTGCTACCGTTCCACCGCAGCAGCAATGGGCGACGAGAAATCAAAGTACGAATTCCTTCCCATCCCTTCCTACGAAGAAGCCACCTCCTCCCATCCTGTCTCCTCCCAGTCTCACATCGGCCCCGAAGAAGTCAGCGATGATGCCGAGAGACAAGGTCTCCTCAGCCACGGCTCTGGCCGGCAGGCTCGGGAGTTAAGATATCCGGGAAACTACCAGCCACCAACGGTAGAGTCGGCACGATCAAGTCTTGATTTCCTCCCTTCGTCAAATGGGGGCAGTTCTGCGCGTGGATCGACGGAGGAACTACGGCGGGAGTTGGAGCAGATGGATGTGGAAGATCCAGGAGAAGAATCCTCTGCATCGGCATCGCGGTCTTCATTCTCGAAACGCTTTACGTATTTCAAAAGGACACTGTCCTCGATACATCTACCGTTGCAGAAATATATACCCAAGTTCAATTTCAAAGTGTTCTCGTGGATGAACCAGCAACATTGCATCATCATATTGAGACTGGTTGGATTGTTGTTTGTCGCGGGGATTATATACGCCCTTATGGTTTCTGATGTCTTCAGCTTCTCTCGCAGGTTAAATATTGGCCAGATGTACGAGCCGGAGTCGGTACGGCTATACGTCCAGAGCCATATTAACGAGTCCTTAATTGCTGAGTATCTTCAGGTTATGACAAAATTCCCTCATGTTGCTGGGACCGAAGGGAATTATGTTTTGGCACAGTGGATCGAAGAGAAATTCAAGTCTTCGCTTATGGATGACGTTACGATTGAGAGATTCGACGTATACCTAAACTATCCTAAAGAGAATGGACGAAGGATCGCCATCGTTGATCCACCAGAGCTCGCATGGGAGGCCAAAATCGACGAAGAACAAGCATACGGCAGCCCTTCGCAAGAGCAGTCTCTCGTGTTCCACGGACATTCGAAATCCGGTAATGTTACAGGCCATCTTGTGTATGCGAATTACGGGTCACGGACGGATTTCAAGGCGCTCTCTGATATGGGTGTGAATTTGAACGGCTCAATTGTCCTGGTTCGATATTATGGCACTCAGCGCGACGGTGCAATGAAAATAAGAGCTGCTGAATTGGCTGGAGCTGCTGGGTGCATTCTTTATTCCGACCCCGCCGAGGATGGGTTCGTCCAAGGCCCAACGTGGCCAAAGGGGCGATATATGCCTAGTGATGGGGTGCAGCGAGGAAGGGTGAGTACGACGTCTTGGGTAGTCGGTGACGTATTGAGTCCTGGATGGGCGTCTCGGCCTAATGAAAAAAAGAGACTCCATCCGGAGGACAGTAAGGCGCTTCCTAAAATCCCTAGCATCCCCATTGCGTGGCGTGATGCTCAACCGTTGTTGAAAGCGCTTCGGGGTCATGGAAAGAAGGTCCCCAAGGAATGGGTGGGAGGAGTCCCAGAAGTTGGGGAGGAGTGGTGGTCTGGCGACCCATTATCGCCAAAGGTCAACCTTATGAATATCCAGGATGAAGTGGAGCGCCAACCGATATACAATGTAATCGGCAGAATAGTTGGAATCGAACAGTCTGAAAAGAAGATTATTGTTGGCAGCTCTCGAGATGCTTGGTGCTTTGGGGCTGCGGATTCAGGAGGCGGAAGTGCAGTCCTTCTTGAAGTGGCCAGGGTGTTCGGAAAGCTACGTGCCCATGGCTGGCGACCACTACGGACTATCGAGTTCGCCAGTTGGGATGGAGAGGACTATAATCTGATCGGATCCACCGAGCATGTCGAAAACGATATCGATAATCTCCGCCGCAACGGCTTTGCCTATGTTAACGTCGATGTTGCAGTGTCAGGCACCAAATTTCGCGCTGCCGCATCCCCTGTCTTCGAGCGCATCCTCCTCCAGATCCTCAAACGTACTTCAGATCCAGTCACGAACGAAACACTGCGGTCCCTCTGGGATAAACACGGGTCCAAACTCGAAGCACTAGGCGCAGGAAGTGACTATGTTGCCTTCCAAGATATTGCAGGCATGTCGAGCATCGATATTGGCTTCACTGGCGACCCTTACCCTTTCCACAGCTGCTACGACAATTACGAATGGATGGCCACAGTTGGCGACCCGGATTTCCAATACCACAAGGTTCTTGGCCAGATTTGGGCCTTGCTCCTCCTCGAACTTTCAGATAGCCCGATCCTCCCCTTTGAGATGGAAACCTACTCCTCCGCTGTCACGAAATATGTCTCCGACCTGGAGAGGTATTCCAAATCCAAAAATGTTCCCTTCCTACACCCTCGCGGCCATCATCGACCGCCTGATAGAGGCAATGAGGACGTTAAGAAACCCTTCCCGGATCCAAACGTGGTAAACATGCAGCCGCTATATGATGCTGCAAAGGTATTCCGTGAAAACGCCGCTTTGTTCCGTCGGTGGGGACACAACTGGAATGAAACACTTGTGTCTTCCGGCGGCTATGAAAGCAGTGCCATGGCCATCAGACGCATGAGCCATAATAGCCACATGACCTACTTTGAAACTCATCTTTTGGACCTAGAAAATGACGGCGGAGTAAGTCCTTTTCTTCTCTCGTACCTAGCTGCCCTTTCAATTTCCGTTTTTGTTTCAGCTACAATTTATGACAGCAAAAATTTTATGCTAACCATTTTTATCTTTCCGCCTTTTTAATTTTATCACTGATAGATCCCAAACCGAACACAATTCAAACATGTCATCTTCGGACCGCAGGCATGGTCGGCCCAAGATGCTGCAATCTTCCCCGCCATACGTGACGCTATCGATTCCGGGAACTGGACAGAGACGCAGAGATGGATAGACAGGGTATCTAAGATCCTTACTGATGCCAGCATAGGACTCAGCATCTGAGAAAGAACTTTACTTTTTCTTCCCGTCCTCTTAAATCACATGAAAATGTATATACTAAATACCACCAGAGGTAAAAAGAGGTGAAGAAAAGAAAAGAAAAGACAACCAGCCAGTTCATACCCCTCTTGAGAACTGCATCTTCATGTCTTCTTCCTTGTGCTCTATGCTCTGTGTTACTTCACTTCAAAAGGAAGTATTGCCAACCTCGCATTCATATCTTGTCATGAATGCATGCATAGTACCTTTTTCTTTCACCCCACATGCCATCCCATCCTACACGTCCCATCCTACACGCCCGGCACATCCTTCTCCTATGTCCTTCATATACCTATGTATACTCGAGCCATCGATTCATTTTCTCCATCATTTTTTTCCCCCCCATTCCCGACACCTAATCTTTTTATCTGTGAAAAAAGATAGCTTGCCTATTCCCTGCCCGCTATCCCATGACAGCCCATTCTGATCTCCACTGTTTTTAATTTGCACTTCTCCAATATCTGGATACGAGAATGCAGAACGTCAGAGTTTCCTCCCAATTTTCACAATTTCCACTACTACTTTCTTTTTCTTTTTGTATCTTTTTTTTTTTGTTTTCATTTCCACTTACGTTTTATTTTGATTATATTATATATATATGTATATATATTATCAGCTAGGATATGTTTACCCGTCGTTTCTTTTTTTTTGGGGGGGGGGGGTATTTTCTCTCTTCCTTCCACTTTTTTCAACTGATTTTTCCCTTCTTGTTTGTATTTTTATACACACTTGGAGCAAGCGCTTCTTCTTAAATATCACAGATCAGATACCAATCAATATAGGATTGATTCCACTGTTAATTTTGTCCTTTTTATTTTTTTTTTAGCCACTTTTCGTAGATTTCTTCTGAGGGCAGCTGGGTTGAATGGCAAATGCTTCAATTCTGAGGTAGATGGATATCGTACAGCTTTTTGCCGTATTTCCTTTTACTCACTTCTTCTATCCATCAACTTCTCTCCATCGCTACATGTTTTCATACTTCAAAAGACAATATCAGATCATCCTGCTTCAGAGCAGAATCAATTAATTATTAATACCTATATAGTACCTATATAGTTTTCCCCTTTGTGTTTATGTGTCTATGATTATACAACCGTCAAGTAATTTGCATACAAATAAGTTTTCCAAATGTTCCCATGCAACAGTAAACTAGTGCAGATTCCTGGCTTGTGCCAATTATCGTCCTTTAAAGCAGCTTTGAAAGAAAAGGGACGTGACCAACCTGATGACGTGAACAAAACAGTACTATCCCATGGAGCGATATTGGCCCTCTTGCCCGTAGTCAAAACAAATTTGAAGACTGAAAATATATGCCCTTGCCCCACACCTTGTTCGGTCACCACCGTCTATCCATAGACAGCGAGCGGACTTCGACGACGACCAAATCTCCGCTTGGCCGGGAAGGGGAGGCTCTGGTGGTAGGTTTCTGGGCTTTATGTATCTGGGTAACATGAGCACGCCGACTGAGTCATTTCAACCTGCTGTCGGAGTGGTGAGGGGGGAAAAAAACCAAGAGAAGCATCAAAATATCAAATCAGCTTTTAAAAAGGGTAAAAAAGGACAAAAAGAAATAGAAAAGCAAATAGCAAACAACTGTTTTTGGTCGTATATGATAAATTTTGGTTCCTTTCTTGTTTCTTCTTTATTTTTCCTTTTCGCTGATCGGAGCTGAGATATTGATTATCATGTGCTCCTGAGATTATTTCATTCTTTCCCATATTGTCTCATGTATCGACCCAGATTCTGGGAGGTCGTAATCAAACCAATAATATCAATCGGTATCGATCATAGATCTAGCTGGGAGGAAGATTTTTCATGTCACCTTTACCATCCTTGATCCAAGCGGGGTCAATGAGTCGCTCTCTCTCAGCATAGATTTGCTTGTAGGCTCCCCGGATCGTCCCATCGCTAACATGCGCAACGGTGGAGATCTCCTTGGCAGATTTTCCCTGACCCATCAAAAAGGAAGCCATGTAGATCGACGCTGCCACGATAGATAATGGAGACCGACCGGCAAGCTCACCAGTGGATGTAACTCGGTCAGCCAACGCAGAAGACACGTTGGTAACTTGGAAGGGAAGATCGAGCAGATTGCAAAACCTGTTGCAGAGGTCGCTAGGCTTGGTGGAGGTTGTGGCAGTGTAAGTCTCGTTGGGGTCAGGAACGCCTGAATATTTTTTCACGTTAGATTAGTTCTGGGTGAATTCAAATGGAGCAAAATTCTTGTCATCTTGTTATGGTATGAGAGCGAAATCTTACCGCCACTGGAAACCACGGAATTGATTCGCTCCAGGTTCTGGGCAGTGAAAAACTTTTCAAGAGCCTTATAGATCCGCCCGATTTCCTTCTTCGTAACCCGTGTCACGGCAAAAATCTCCGTGAAGGTACGAGGAACTTTGCACTGGCGACAGGCAATGAAGATACAGCCCGCAATGATCACATCCTGCGACTTCCCCTTGAATGCCTTTGCGTCATCCACAATTTTGAACAAGTACTTGGCAGTATCGGCAACGTTTTTCGGGATGTTGAACCCGTCACAGAGTGCACCAATTTCCTTGTACGCCGCCAGTAAAGTTTTATTAGTCTTCTCACTGGACATTTTGTTCTGTGCACGGTGCAAATCCCGACTTCGAGAACCTCCAACACCATATGAAATTTGAGTCTCAAGCTGGTTACCATTTAGGAGAGGATTCACGGCATCTCCAACACGAGAAGGGTCATCATTGTTTTGATCATCGTTCGAGAAGGTGCGCCATTCAGAATGTTGGTCAATCTCTCGGTCTGCCAAGACGAGTCCACAGGTTCCACAGATGGTTTCATGAGAATCCGGGGTTACAAGATTGGGAGGCGTTTCCCTGCATTCGGGACACACCAAGTAAGCAGCAAGGTTTTCTTTCCAGAGAATGCCAGATTCACTTCGTAACCCGGTCCCCACAGCAGCCATTTTCTTTGCCGTGGAAACCTGTTTGACGCCCAATCGGTCACGCTGGCGCCTTTTGATAGTCTTATAAGAAACTTTAAGATTATGCTGCAAGGCATACACACGTATAAACAATGGCGAATACAGTTTGGCGACTGTAGGGTAACAGGGTTCGATTGCTCAGAGGGACTGAAGTTAAGGAAATGAAAGGAATGGACGAGTGGCAAGCGTTATATCCCACGTCTTGACGACTGGAGGAAATGTCCACTATCTCGTACGATCATGTTAGCTTCATCACACAACTATAGTATCCTTTTTAACGCTCATCTGAAAATCACATATTACAAGGTAGGCAGAGCTAGAAATGAACTGTGGATGACTCTTGGGCCGTCTCAAACAGCTGTATGAGAACACCACCTAAACCCAAAGGGTAGCAAATCTATCTCAGCTTTACCTTTCACGAACTACTACGACAGTTTCACACAGAATGGTGCTCCAGCTCCCCGGCGCAAAAGGGTCAACACCGTGAAATGAAGGCTTTTGACACCCCCCAATCAGAGTTGTCAAGGCAAAACCGGACTGCTGAAGTCCCCGCGAAGCTGAGGTTGAAAACGAGTCAGATGTGCACGAAAGAGGCGTCGTTATCGGTGCCAGCTATCGGTTAAGGCTTCTCAAAACACATCCAAACCCTGCTGCGATGTGGACACGTTTGAAGCAGACAGGTATTCACGGCCAGAGACTCAGATGGGGATGAGTTGACGGGGTTGGGGAGACGGTTGTAAGATGAGGTTTGATTGCGCGAGGTTGCAGTTGAACAAAAGGGTCGATGTGATCACGTGATACAGATGACTTAGTGCTGAGTCATCACTGACAAGCCGTTGTGCTTCCCACCAACCAACGGCCCCATTCCGGATAATGGGCAAAGTTCAATCGTTTTTGATGTTGCTCCCCTTCTCTGCTCCCGCCGCAACCACGCTAACCACCGTCCTGCCGTCTTTATATATCGACTGTGATGATGTCTCAAACCCTCAGAACATCGGTAGGAGCCATTGGAACTCCCCGGATAATGAAGGCCGTGACTGACCGTACTGCAGGGCTCTCTTCTGGCCCGAACAGCCCGACAACCTCTTCGGGTTGCTCGTCGCACCTTCATCGCTACCCCCATCAGACAAGGTATCTATATATACACTCACATTTAATGAAGCATATCATATGCCTACGCAAAGATCCGGGCATACTTACCATTCCCGATAACTGACGCGAGCATAAAACTTCTTTCTACGTTCTACCGCCTCTCCCAGCCGATCTCATACAAGATATGTACCTCCGCGAACTGCGCGCCTACAGGCCCCCACCAACCAAACCCTCCGATGCCGATGCGCACGTCCAGAAATTCAGCATCCCCAAGCCCCCCCCGTCCCCCGAGGAGGCCAACATCGCCGCTGATCTGAAGGCATACGAGTCCCAGGAGGTCGAGGTGGAAGGCCAAGCGGCTAGTGGCGAGGCTGCTCCCGTCGAGGAGGATTGGTTTGAGGATGAGGATGAGGCGCCCGCTGCCCATTAGGAAGATGGAAGTGCAGGACAAGAAAATCTATTTTGAATTGATCCTTTGTGTGTGTGTGTGTGTGTGTGTGTGTGTGTGTGTGTGTGGTCGGTGTTGAAACGGACACCGGAAATCCTGTAAAGATATATACATTTCCAAATACTTTTTTCACCCAATCTTTCTTTTATTTTTTTCCCTCCATTCGTTTCATATCTTATTTTGGTCTGGGGACTCCATGCTCTATTTAACTGAAACTGGCTCTGTGCGCAGCGGATTCTTCCTGGCCAAATGCTGGTGAATTGTCCGCAGATGTACAAGATCTTTCCTGACGGACGTACAGTACGAAATCAGATCCAAGGGGATTTACACTGGCTGGACAATGGCAAGACGTCTCCTGCCTTGAACTTCTCACAGCCCATGGGGGGGGGGGGGGAAGCGATCTGGGATAATAGTATATGAAAAGAATATTATCCTTCGTGCGGCCTTGACCAGAGATAAAAAGCCAGCAATATTCTGAATTAATGACGACGATAAACACCAGATCTCAATTGCCATCTGTTTTGAAAGAATTGGAGGCTAGGGGATGAGAGAGGTGTAGAGAGAAGACAGAGAGGAAGCTCCGGCAAAAAGAATGTGTCAATGCGAAACATCAGCCCCATTTATGGATCTGGCCTTGGACCCATGTCCATGAAGCAAAGTCTTGGTGGCTTCTTACGGATAACCGCTGGAAAAAAGCAAGAGTGGAATGACCTTGTCAATTGCGCACACGTTCTAGCTAGTTCTAGAACCTGACATCTGAGATCCTTTGTTTGGGTGCCGGGCGGCGCCGTATTTGCATTGATCATTGAATAGTCAAACATGTGGGTATAACCGGAATGCCGGGGGTTTGTCAAAAAACCTTGGTTGCAAGGTTATAACCTACCTGCGACAGTCTGTGATATGATGGGTAGGTTGCATGCAAAGTTGGCAAGCAAGCAAATAAGCTTGTTAACGAGACATGGAACACCTGGCAGTGTGAATCTGGAGACCAACAATGATGACGGAAATCGCCACATTCACCGAGACCCAGGAGATATAAATAAAACCAGGCGGGGTGATAAAGAACAACTAAAGCCTTAGATCTTCCCTTCCCTTCCCTCCCCACATACTTTCTTATTTTAACTCTTCTCTTAAACTGTCTCCGTCGAGGCTGAAGGGTTCGGCGCAGGGCTGAGCTGCAATGCGCTTGGGCGTAGTTGAACAAGATTCAACGGCTGCTTGTACCTCCAGAAGCAATAATAACAAAGAGGGAGAGAAAGCAGGAATGCTGGAACTATTCATAAGAATAATAAGAATCATAATAAATAATCATAATCATAATATAATAATAATAACAACAACAACAACAACAACGACAACAACAACGACGACAACAACAACGACAACAACAACGACAACAACACAACAACACAACACAACAACAACAACAACAACAACAATAACAATAATATATAATGCTATAATAAAACCCAAGCCTCTGGCCCTCGGAAGCGTGGGAGCCCTTGAGTTAGTTGTTATGTCAGGACTGAAATAGCAACCAACCACATTCCAGCCAACCAACGTGCTTGGGTGGTGCCATCGATGACCTCAGCCAACCCAACCCAACCCAACCCAACCCAACCCAACCCAACAGCCCAACCCAACCCGCTGAACCACCGCTTTGTCGACTTATTCTGCCCGGCCAGTTTTAGCTGCTCTGCCGGGTTTCCTCTGCCAGCCGTCCGGGTCTGGCACCAACCAACTGCGCGCTCCCCAGGTCTTGAAGCCTCCTTCGTTTCCTCGCCCTCCGCCCTCCGCCCTTCTATTAATTCGATTTTTGTTCCCTCCCTCTTCCGGCCCCCTTTTGCTATTTGGCTTCTCTTTCTCTGCTGCCTCATTCGTTTGGGCTCCACTCTCGTTTTCGTTTTCTTGTTCTCTCCCTCCCTTCCCCCTTTTTTCTCCTCCCCTTTCTCTTTCTACGCCCTTTCCCCCCCGTTTACAGTCGTTTGCCGCAAACCTGAACAAACACCCCCATTTTGAGTGTAATCTGTTCTGATCCAACCACCTCCGGACGCACATAACCTCTGCTTCTCCGTACTCCAGTTCATGGCCCCTGGATGAGGAAGTGATCATCGTTTATTCACACAACGTCTCGTCGATGTAAAATTGCTAGACTGTAAGTTCAAACAAACATACTTCCAATTGATTTGTGGTTTTGTTGGTGGGATTCGAAGTCGAATCAACTCCCCGTCAAAGTTTAGTGGGAAGAAGACTGAGGAGAGTAGCTTTGTCCCGGATCCGACCTTCATAATTTTTTTTTTTTTTTTTCCCTCTATGCTAACTAGACCCAAATTATTCTCTCCATCTACAGCATCTGAGCTGTCTCGTCAGCTTCCCACGCCTTTCGGCTCTTCTGTTAACCCGCCGTCGTTACCTCTGTCCTCTTTATCATCCCCCTCGCCTTTTTCCGCCCTTTCCCTTTCCCCCTTTTTCCCCCAATTTAACAACGTCTTGCTGTCTGATTCTTCTACAAAAGAGGAAGCAGAAACTCCCTGCTGCGCCGTACAAAGCCCGTCCCAAGTGCAAACCCACAAATGGTTTGACGGTGCGCATCGAAACCAAAACCTTCTCTGCGGAGAGCTGGTCTCTCCTTGATCCCGGGAGCTCCTCCTGACTGACTTCCATATCTCCGGAGAAACCCCCTTGATACCACTCCTCCCCCACATTTCCCCAGGTGTTAACTGTTCTCCGTTGAGAGCATGCCTAACTCGTCTGCGGAGTCCCAAAATGGCGCCAGCTCTCCAACTCTCTCACGCTCCGCTAGCTTTAATCACCTACCGGCACTGGAACCCAGTGAAAGCCAATTCGATGTGAAAAGAACGCTCTCGGAGACGAATTTACTCCAGTCTGCTGAAAGTGTGGTGAAACTGGATCCACATAGCTTTGTGACAGGTAAACAAGTTTTACCCCAATCGTCTATCCACCTATCCAAAGGCAGACTAAAGAAGAAGGACTCACTCCCCATTTCGTCTCAAAATAACACAGACGTTGAAGCGCCTTCTACTTCAATTGCGTCCTCATCAACTTCGCGAGAGACTCAGAACTCTTCGTCGGTAGAAAAGCATTCGAAGTCCCGCTCGGTATCAAGCACAATTGCGACCTTTGCTCGCAAACCATGGAAGTCGTCCAGCTCCCCGTCTCCTGCAGCAATTAAAGAAGCTAAGGTCGAGGATGCAAAACCCAATGCTGGAAGCGGCACATCGTCGGAAATGGCTTCTTCAGAAAAACCAGTGGACCAACCTGCGCCGCCCACCAAGTTGGAGAAATCTCGTCGAAATAGCCTCCAGGTAAAAAACAATCGGATATCGGGCACCTTTGGAATCAAACCGAAAAAGGAGGCTCCTACCGGGGCACAGAAACGCCCTTCCCTTCAGTCACTGCGGGCGAAAGTCTCATTGGAACGGCTCACTGGGTCTCCAGCTGGATCAAATGATGATGTTCCGCCTGTTCCCCAAAAACGGACGGTTCAATTACCCCAACTCAAGATAGATGCACCTCGGAAAAAGGATCAGTTGTGGTCTGTCTTTAGAGGGCTCGATACCGATTATCAAAAGTAAGATAATCCATTTCCTCTTTTAACTCAATTCATCCATCGTGTCAGCTAACAGTTCCAAGATTTCACTCGAAGAATAGTTCCCTCAAGGCCAATGTCCTGCGCTCATCAGTGCTTCCATTCATCTCCCGCTATGCGAATCACCCGTCCAATCAGACGCTCCGGCCCGAAGACCTTGATCGACGGACAACCATATTGAATAAATGGTGGACGGGACTCCTTGAAGTACTCAATGGGAGGACGAGTCAATCTTTAAGTGGAGTCGATAGACCAGTCTTTCTAGAAGCCATAATTGGAATCATGTCACGACCAGAATGGCGTATTCCAACCTTGCAAAATTCATCGTTACCCGTTACACCTACAGCATCCAACAATGGAGTCCCCGTCTCGAGATCCAACACCTCCCTTGAGTCAGCAGGGACAGACTTTCTCATCGACTCAATACATCACAACATACGGAATGTCTTTGCTCAAAACCTCCTGTCACAAATCTCCTATTGCGTTGATAAATTGTCAATGAGGAAAACACCAGCCAGTCTGGTAACCTTCTCTGGCAAGACTTGCGCTTATGCCTTCTTTTTCTGTCCCGGTGTTGCGGACGTTCTCGTGCGGCTGTGGAACACCACTCCAGATACGCTTCGAAGGGTTCTAGGCGGGTTCGATATGGACAGCAACTCAAAGGCCAGGGTTGAGACGTCCGAATACATCTCCTCCTTTTTCCCCTCAACGCTTCGAGCGTTAAGCTTCACGTCTCATGCCGGCCTTGTTCGCTGTCTGCGGCAGAAGACATCCCCACCACTTGGCGCAACTCACGTCAATTGGTCCGGCCCATGGGTTTCTCGTTGGTCAGGACGAGACACTGACCTTTTCTTCGTTTTTGCCAAGCACTTTCACATTCTAGTCGCCGGGTTTGTACCCTCTGCATGTGAAAGGTCGAAGTATGTCTTCGTCCCAGGGTTAATTTCGGTCCACGCTCAGATATTGACTGTTTTGGAACACACTCTCAATAAGCAGTCAACTTCTACGTCAATTGAAAATCTATATGCAGCAACCTCCACGACATTTGATGACTTTTTTGATGGAGCGGATGCTTCAGCCTCGGCGATATCCCTAGGCACTGCAAACTTGCTGCGTATCATGTCCGAGAACCGCCTGATCCTCCTCTTGAAGGATATCGTGACTGATCGCTCCCTCGAACCGTCTATCAAGCAAATGTTCATGGAGGACTTCTGCGCTACTCTGAAGGTGGCCACGAAGAAAGTTTCCCTCTTTGATCACAACGCATGCTTTGTCCTTTTTGACTTTGTAGAGGAGCTTGTTTCTGTTATCCCGCCCTACTACGAGTCGACCCGCCAACCAGATTTGCTAGAATGGGACTTTTGGCTAGATGTCTGCAAGAAAATGATGGAAAGCTACAACTCGCTTACAGAAGTGAGGGTTTTTGCTTTCATATATTGTATCTGGAATGAGATCAATCGGACTCAAGAGAAGAAAGAAGCGTTGTGCTTGGGGATTCTCTTGAACGAAACTTACTTCTATCGATATTTTAATCACTGGAGTCCGATGGTTCGCGCTTATTTCCAGAGGTTGTTATGCTGGCGACTGGCACGATATGAGGGGAATCCATCCGCACTAGATATGTGAGTACCAATGCGCTTTCCAACAAAAAACAAATCCGAAACAACCGGTTAGAAATTTGACTTACCCTTTTTTTTTCTCTTTCTTTTCTTTCCACTATAGACGTATATACAATACCTTATTAGACAGGCTTGGTGGTGTATGGAATTATTTTCTATTCTGCAAGTCAAGGGCAGAGAGGGAATTCCAGCTGCCATTATCAACGGCACCTTGCAGCCCAGCACCAGGGCGTCGAATCCTTATTATCAGGAACGACTACCATCCCACTTCCTCCCTCTTTGTTTGTTTGGACAATATCATCCCGCCTTCTGCCAACCAGCTATCAGCGTATACAAGACACGGAGCATTTCCAGACATCGAGGCTAATAATAGTCGTTCCGAGTCACCTCCTCCAGCGGGGAAGAAAAGATGGAAAGCACTTAAAACCATATTTGCCGGTTCCTCCAACGCGAAACCGGGGGAAGTAACTCCAACCAAAAATAGTTCTGACGAGTTAGAGTGCGGCATGAGGGACGATACAGCGATTGGGGGTCATGGGCCGTTCGAAAGCGAAAATCAACCGTTCGCGGAGAAGAACCCTCCGAAATACACTTTCCGATTCTCCCTCCAGTGGAACGATCGTTCCAGATGGCCAAGCAAGGACAGACGCCTATCCCCGCCCACTTTACCCCTCCCCGCACAAACCTTCATCCAATCCCTCAGAACCCAGTACGTAAAAGCCACCGACTCAGCGTCCGAATCCGTCTCCAACTCTCTATCCAGCACCATTTCAGATGACGGATCGGACAGCGAGAGTGGCGAGATGAACCACCATATCTCAAAATCCAACTCAACCTCCACCTCAACCACAGCAGCCACAACAACCACAGCCGTTGCAACACTCTCAACATCAGCAACTACTACAACCCTTGCCAATGATGCAGACTTATCTATCCCAAAACCCACTCTGACGCTCGTCACCTCGTTTGGAGATAGCCACTTCGCCAGCGGAGAAGAGCACAGTCATAATCCCCTCGCAGCAAGCAAATACGCCGGTCGAGCCCTGGCGGAGTGGGCGCTGGTTGTTTGCGAGTGCGATAATTTCTTCACCCGGAGACGGGACGAAGGGGTCCCCAGCGACGATGCGGTTGAGATCCCGATACTGGGAGTGGAGAACTTCCGCAAATAAACTTAATGGATTGCTTTTACTTTTGTATCACATGTTTTTCCCCCTTCCCCTTTGTCTTTTTTTTTTTTTTTTTTTTTTTTTTCTTTCTTTCTTTCTTTTCTTTCTTTCTTTCTTTCTTTGCCGCTTGATTACTATTTCGTCCTGCAGATTTTTGGCCAGGGGGCGGTCATTGTACAGTACAGTGTCAACAGCATTTGGATATATTCACGTAAAACATAACCATACATACATATACACGATATATATATCCTTCTCTTGTACGGATGGCGGTATTGGTGGGTGGTTGGTGGGTGGGGGTTTTTTCCCATCCTTGGGTTTTCGCTCCCGTTCGGTTTGCCGGTTGATTAACCCCAGAGCAAAGCGCCAATCTCATTTTTCGTCCAACGGGTTTTAAGTGGGGCAGGTTTTCACGTGGCATCTGGCTACTTCTTCACGTGCAAAAGCCAAAAACACATCGATGATGGTTGATTCTCCCGGTTTTTCATTTTGCAATTGTAAATTCTTTTTATCTATTCCCTCCCTTTAGAATCCAATGCTTCTTCTGTCTCTCGTGTGTTCACGGTGCCAAGGTTTCGCGCAATCTCCCTGTTATTATTTGGTGTGTATGTATCTATTTGTCTTTTGAGATTCGTTGCAATTTGCATTGTACGGCTGTTTTCTTTTCTCTTCTTTTGTTTTCTTGTTGATTACTGGGGTAGTTGTTTTTGCTGTTGTTGGGCGAGCTCCCGGAGAAAGGGGCTCCGGCGTATATATCTCTTTTAGAACTTTTTCCAGTTCTGATCAAGTCAGTCGAATATTTTTTTTCCTTCTTCTCCCTTTTTTTTTTCTTCTTTTCTTTTCTTTTCTTTTTTTTTTTTTTTTCGGTTCTCAACCTGCCTATCTGGCTTTGGTGGGTTTAATATTGGTGCTTCTTTGCTTCTGCTAAATCCCCCCCCCCCCTAATGCAACTTGGCCCAAAGTTGATAATGCTCACTGCGTGTAATGGTAATTTCTACGAGTGTGGAGGATGGATCGAACGATGAACAAGAGAGGGGTTCCTCGCGTATCGAGTAGAAGTGATTAGGATTTGCTCATTTTGCATCGACGTTACAATAAATAAAGCCTTATACTATTCTATGTACATACATTGTCATGTTGTTGCAGAATGGAAGGAACATCTGCTCTTTTTGCTACGAATTTACATCGTAGATTTTCTCTAAAGTGTTGGTTGGAAAGGGGGCCGACAATTGTGTTTGAAGACTTTTTTTGGGCAAAGGAGTGGGGGGGGGGGGGGGGGGTTGGAGGGAAGATCATGATCTTACAGGGTCTATTTTCCCACCCTCACCCTCTACGTGCCTATATAGGTGGGGGGTAGGTAGTAAGGAGGGTATATGCCTATCTGCCTGCGAACACCGATGAAACCGAATGTGTGAAAAATAGGCCCAATTAGTGCCATATAAACTGTATAGCATTAGAATTTCAAAAGAAGAGAGACACAAAGACATGCATGCATCTGTGAGATATTTTACTAGGATTGGATCAACTGTCTAGATAGGTTATAGCGTTTACTTTTCTTATATACGGAATACGGATTCGAGAGGAGGAAACCAGGTAGATTGCCACTATCGTCATTTAACATTTGTGTTTAAAACCTTGGTGTTCCAATTGTCCAACAGGCATTTGCCTTCTTTTTCTTTTGGAGAGATCGGGGGTTAGACGTGGTTTTAAAAAGTCGGAGCGGGAGTTGGGAAATGAAAAAAATAAAATAAAATAAAATAACAAGAAATCAGAAAAAAATAAAATGAACCAAGCAAGGAACAGCATGAATCTATCTTAGGAGCTCGCTTCTCATTTACCATATCCTCTTTCCATTTTCCAGCACAAAGGCCAATAACCAATAACGTTAACCAACAATGCACCACCCTTCTTCCCAGCCTATAGTTTTAAGAAGAAGCAGCATCGCCATCCAATGGTTCCGAAATCTTCTCCTCCACCTCCGGTGCAACAGAAGTTTGCTCTTCCCCTTCATCGGCTGCGGAAATAGTTTTTTGTGCGGCAGGCTCAGACACAACCAACGGCGTATCAACGTGCGGCTCAATCTCCGCCTCGACAGGCGTATCTAAATCATCGTGACTCGACATAGTCGTAGGGACCTGTACATTCCGCGGCGAAGATGACGATAACGTCGAGTCGCGAGCAGCAGCTGCAGCCGAGGATTCATCGTGATCAACTGCAGCGGGTTTTGAAGTCGTCTCCGTTGACAAATCGTACGCCCCAGGAGGTTGGGGGATAGTCGCGTCTTGGGAAAGGTCGCAGGGTGAACTTTCAGCACGCTCCGCGGCGGGGAACTTGGATAGCTGCTTCAGGTATATCCGGGGACGGTGACTTGGACTTAGAAATACTGGGGCAAGCGTTGATAACCACGAGAACCCCATCTCTGCCAATCTGCCAGACATCCCAGGCGCCTACGGACCGAATCTCAGGCACGGCGGACTCTTTGGCGGGTTCTGAAGCAGATCCAGCGGCAACTGCAGGCTTTCTTCTGGCTGGCCCTCGCGCTCGACCCTTCCGTGCATCGCTTAGCGGCGCTTTTTTCAACGACGACTCTTCAGGTTCTGCCTTCTTTTCTAGAGGCTTGGGCCCCAACTTCAATCGACCTTCAAGATCTGCGAGAAATCCACCCTTCAGAGCAGCGATCTTTGATCCCCCGGGACGAGAAGGGATGGGAGGTTTAGGTTTCGTAGCAGGCAGGGGTGTAGGTTCAGCTGAGCTTGCAGAGCTTGTTTTAGGCAGGCTCTCTTCAGAGTTGTGCGATGCTGGTCTTGCTAGTCGTGCGGGATGGTGGGGCTTGGGTTTCGGACGGTTGGGGACTGCAGGTGGTTTTCTGAGCTCGGTTGGACTTGTGCTTTTCGCTTCGACGGGACTTACGTTTGTTGATTTTGAGGGACGAGCTGGAATAGTCGGGAATGTGGGCTTCACTGAGTGTTGGGGAGACGTAGGTGTAGTTTCCTCCTCTTCAGGAATATGCTGAACAGTCGTTACGAGTTGATGGCTGTCAGGAGCATCTTCCCATATATCATTACTTGGAAATCGCTGCTTGGAGTCTGGTCTGGGAGGCTTTTCATCTTCCAGATGGCTCTGGAACTCTTTGGATGGAGAGCTGGGTCCTATCTGTAAAGTCTGCTGTTCTGATGATGGCTCTGATTGGCACTTGTCTTCAGCACCGTTTAGTTCGATTGGTATATCAGGCGTTGTGACAGTAGCTTCTAATTGTAAGCTATCAGGACTGTCTTCCCAAATATCTTTACTTGGGAACCTATGTTGTTCAGGACGACGCTTAAATCGGTCTGTAGACGTTATTTTAGTCACGTCATCATCTTCTGGGAACAGAGGTTCAAGTTCTTGAACGTCTTCAAGTGCCGTTTTAATTTCCTCACGTTCCTCACCGCGGGAGTTGAGCCTTGCCGAGTTCAGTCCCGCACCGTGCATATTGACGGGCCGGCTACTCGGGCGCATATGGGAGGCACTGTGCGTTCGACTGGGTGGTTCGGGCTCAAGAACGGGAGAGACTGCAGGTTGCATATGCTCAATACCTGGATCAATCTCATCGGACGCGAGAACGGGAGCCTCATCAGGACTGCCTTCACCCCGGCCAGGCTCTTCCAATGACTGCAGATTATGTGGCTTATGATCCTCTGGTGCGGGGGCAAATCCATCAGGGTGATGTTGGTGATGAAGTGGCTCGTCGATGTGGATTACCTCCTCTTTCTCAAGAGTGTCCACTGTTGAAACATGATGCTCAGTATCCAATGCACCAAGAACAACAGATTTCTTCCGGGGAGATTCTATGAAACTTTGCGACTTAATATACTCACCCTTAGCTAAGCTGGAACCAGTATGTGGAGAAGCAAGCCGAGAAGCAAGTTCATCGGTCGCAATGTATCCTACTTCTTCTTCCGGAGTGCCCACAACATTTGCGTGAGTTGCTATGAGGGGTTAGAATGTCTTTTCACCTATTTGTTAAATTTACGTATACTCACCTAGGCCTAGACCTCTATTTGCAGAAGTTCTAACCAATGTATTTAAATCATTGCTGCTCATGGCCCATTCCGGTCGCTGGTTCCCTAGACCAGGTCCATACTGACCCTGCTCCTCCCGTGCAAATTCGTCAGGGTGACTGTCATACCATGCTTGTTCAAATTTGTCATTCGGTTGAACTCCGTGACCATGGAGACCATAACTGCCAGGCGGAAGTGAACCTTCTCGACCACTTTTAGTTCGTTGGTGTTGACGTCCAGATCGCTGCCAAACATCACGGGCAACATCACCAAATGGAGCTGGTGAAGGGGCCTGTACATCGCCCGCGTTGGGGTCCATAGGCACCCTCTGGCCAATTTCCGGAATACCTCCTTCGTCGGCAAGGTGTAATGGCGACCGATGATTGGTCGACGCAGGAGAAGATCCGCGACGAGAGTCGTTGTTAGTCAGTGAATTCCTGGATCTAGAGTGGTCTGTCTCATCGTGGCCAGGTGATACGGCTTTTCCGAAGCCCGCAGCGGCAGCCTGATGCAAGGCGGTTCTGGTGACAACTGCCACCTGAGCTTTGACGGTGGAAGTCGGCAATGAGGGCCTGGGAGCGTGAATATGTAGATCCTGGTGCACATTCCGCGTCTCCACAGGCTGCTCTTGTCTTTGTCCCTGGTCATCCCAACTGGCATTCTGGTATAGCAAACTCTCATATTCCTCTCCTTCTTGCCCAACTGATGGTAGACTAACGCTAGGGGGACGAGCGGGAGTTTGCGATCTCGAGGCATCCTTTGAGCGCGAGCGTGCTGGACCCAGCCCCGTTGGCAATTCGTTCAGCGGTGACGGAGCATAGCTATCGCGGCTAGGAGAAGCAGGGCAATCAACGCGGCGACTGGTTGGACGGGGTGGAACTTTTGGCATCTCGGGGTTTCGAGATGAGGGATTAGGAGAACGGGATGGCCGAGGAGGAACCGTGGGAAACGTATTTGCTGACATTTTCCTTAATTGACTGTTAGGAAATAATGGATGGTCAGGAAAATGAGAGGAAACTGATAGTTCGATTAGTCTCTGCCAGGATCTTGGGAACCAATTTTAGCAAGGACTGAAAAACTGCTCGCTCTTCCACGGAATGTATTGAACTGCGAAAGGTCAAAGGGGAACGGATCATTCAAACATCCATGCTCAACTGAAAAATCTTTCCTTTGGATGTAATATTGTATCTTGTTTTCTTTTCTTCATTTTGTACTTCCATTTGCTTCTTCTTCCTCTTCTGTGTGCAATTTCACTCTGTAGGGTTTTCTGTTTCTCCTTGTTCCTCCCTCAACCGGTTTGACTGATCTCTCTTTATTTCTATCATTTTCAATAGGAAGCCATAGTTATAGAGCAATGAGTAACGCAGTCACACGGAGGCAGAGAGAGAAGGTGGTTTAAAAACTGAATATAGTTAAAGGATCAACTGAGGCTGGGGGAAGCAACATAGCAGACAAACATCAATGGGGGCGAATGCACCTCCGTTTGGGAACAGATTAGCAACGGGGGAGAGCAATCGCACTGGGGAGACAAAGGCAAGGAAAAGGAAATTGGCAGGGCATAAGATAGAAGGGATTTTCTTTGCGTATTTGAAATATGCGATCCTATAGTGGAAGCCGACCTTTCTAAGGGGAGGGGAGGGAGCTAACAACGACGAGCTGCTTTGACTCTTCAGTAAAAAGGCATTACGTGCATATCTTGCTTACCCTGTTAGTATGTATGTGAAAGATCGTCTTCCCTTTTCGGTACGGGAATAAACGAAATCTTGTTTTTCTTGAGGGGGAATAAGTATGCGTGTCTGGAGAACTCATATAAGTTCACAATGTCTTGAGCAGTGAACGGAGTCGGAAGGAATATATTCAGTTGTTAATTGACACGAGCTGCGGGTTCCACCGGACTTGTGAATGTTCAAAGAAAATGTCTCTTCACTTCAATATCGGTATGAAAATACTACAATTGAAATTGGAAATGTAGATGAAGACTGTGGTTGAGGGATTGGGTGTTGTAGACTCACAAGTGAAGTTGAATTCAAGGATGAGGTTGCGTCAACCCGACTTTTAAGCAGCGTTAGTTTCCTTTACTACCACGTCCGGACCCTTGTTTGCCACCCCCCCACATTTCCCACGAACCTATGACGTTGCACCTTTAGTCATGGGGTGGATTGCGCAAGGCCGGACCTAGGCTCATTCCTTGTAACTAATGAGTATTCCGGGCCGTGGGTAAAGGGTTGTCGGGTCGTCGCATTTACTAGCAGGTCACGGGATATAGGCGCTGAGATGAAACGGACTGTTGCAGCTTGGATATATCGATTACCTTGGATTTAGGTGCGTCATTGGGGAAGTTTTTGAGGGATTTATGAATAGTTCGAAACGCTTGGTTACTAGTTATTCTCTTTTTCTCAATTCGTGGAATAATAATAAGAATACAGAGCAAGAATTTATGACAATTTGATGACTAAATCTACATTAGCTAGTTAACGTTAACTAACTAGCTAACTATGCCGGTTCAAATCCTCGAAGATGCAGTGACAATAACTATATCAAGAACACAACATATCAGGAATACCTGGCATAACTTACTAGTAAGTTACTTGACCAGGATGTTGATACATGCTTGGTGGCAGATCTAGGAACCAGAATCTTAAGAGCAAGACCAACCTTCACCTAACATCTCAGCAAAGTAACCGAAAAATATATTGCGCGGATTCTCCCTGCTCAGATCATGAAATACGTAATTAGATTAGGGTACTTTTATCCTGTATTGCATTTGTGAGAAGAGAGGAGTATGGAGTAGTTATGAGGACATTTGTATGTTATGGTTACTCCCCAATTGACTCCTACCTTACAGGCTGCTGGCAGTGGAGCAAGCATCGGCACATTTCATGTACTTGCAATTACAACTCTTTTCCATGCTTCTTGAAGATGATGTATTCAGGACACAAGAATACATAACAGAGACTGAATAAGGTAATCTTTTAAACATGAAAAAGGTCATTAATACTTTAAATTTTTGATCCGTAGTTACTCATTAGAAAATAAAGGAAAATAACAAAGGAAATGGGTGACCCATCTAATAAAGAAACACAGGAACCAGGCATTTTTCCTTTTAAACTAGGGGTTGGACACAAAAGAACAGATGCGAGGGGAAGGGGGTTAAAAGAACATGAAAAAGCAACCAACTAAGTCCCAGTCGTCACATTTTCGCCCTTTGCACATATGCTTTCATTCAGGCGATTGATGATTAGAAAAAGAAAAAAAAACGCCCCTCCCTTTTTCCCATCAGGTTACCCGGTCATGCATTGTGCCCTTACTTGCTCCAAGCATTTGTCTTTTTAAGGGAGGAGAAAGGTGTGGTTGTCAGGTTTATTTCTTGGTGGCCTTCTGGGCAGCCTTGGTAACCTTACCGCCAGCCTTGTCAGACTTGACGACGGACTTGATGACACCGACAGCAACCTATAGAGAATAGAGTTATTAGCAAAAGAGTGGCAGAAAGTATTGACCGGTGGAGGTTCGGAAGGAAAGTTAGACTTACAGTTCTTCTCATGTCACGGACAGCGAAACGTCCAAGTGGGGGGTACTCAGTGAAAGCCTCAACGCACATGGGCTTGGAAGGAATCATCTTGACGATAGCAGCATCACCGGACTTGATGAACTTGGGGTTGTTCTCAACAGACTTTCCGGTTCGTCGATCAATCTTCTCAAGGAGCTCAGCGAATTTGCAGGCAATGTGGGCAGTATGGCAGTCGAGGACTGGGGCATAACCAGCGCCAACCTGACCAGGGTGGTTGAGGACGATGACCTGGGCATTGAAGGAATCGCAGCCCTTTGGGGGATCATTCTTAGAGTCACCGGCAACGTTACCACGGCGGACTTCTTTGACGGAAACATTCTTGACGTTGAAGCCGACGTTGTCACCGGGGTTACCGGCGGTAAGCTGCTGGTGGTGCATTTCGACGGACTTGACTTCAGTGGTGACGTTGGCGGGAGCGAAGGTCACGACCATACCGGGCTTGATGACTCCAGTCTCAACACGTCCGACAGGAACAGTGCCAATACCGGAGATCTTGTAGACATCCTGGAGGGGAAGACGGAGAGGTTTATCGGTAGGACGGGTGGGGGGCTCAATGGCGTCGATGGCCTCAAGAAGGGTCTTGCCAGAGTACTTGCCCTGAGCAGTCTCCTTGGACCAGCCCTTGTACCATGGGCAGTTGGCAGAGGGCTCGATCATGTTGTCACCCTCGAAACCAGAAATGGGAACGAAAGGAACAGTCTTGGGGTTATATCCGACCTTCTTAATGAAATTGGTGACTTCCTTGATAATTTCATTGAATCGGGTCTCGGACCACTTAGTGGTATCCATCTTGTTGATGGCGACGATAAGCTGCTTCACTCCTAGAGTGAAAGCGAGCAGAGCATGCTCACGGGTCTGACCATCCTTGGAGATACCAGCCTCGAACTCACCAGTACCGGCAGCAATGATGAGAATAGCACAATCAGCCTGGGAAGTACCAGTGATCATGTTCTTGATGAAATCACGATGGCCAGGGGCGTCTTTAAATGGAACATGTTAGAAAATAGACATACATGACGAGGTACGAGAAGGATAATAAGGAGACTCACCAATGACAGTGACATTGTACTTGGGGGTCTCGAATTTCCAGAGAGCAATGTCGATGGTGATACCACGTTCACGCTCAGCCTTCAGTTTGTCAAGAACCCACGCATACTTGAAGGATTTCTTGCCCAACTCTTCAGCTTCCTGTAATCAAATGGTTAGCAAATGGGCAACAGACCAAAAATAAATAATTCAAAGCTATGTAAACATTTCACAACATTAAAAAGAGTATTAAAGGCATAGCAGCAGGCCAATAAGGTGGTTCGTGGGTGGTTATGCACCCTTATAGTCCTGGCCAGAGGGGCAGTTTTCTTGGGTGTTGTACGGACATCACAAAAGCCCCGCTAAGACTATGCCACACAACCACCAAAATTTACCCCACCACCAAAAAAAGGCCGAGTCACCACACTAGTGAGAATCTCACCGCAACAAGAGTGGTAACAGAACAATGGTGGAAACCAAATTAATATTTTTTGCTTCTAAGTATTATGGATTTCTTACCTTCTCGAACTTCTCAATGGTACGGCTGTCAATACCACCGCACTTGTAGATCAAATGACCTATTAGAGACAAGTTATGTTAGTATGCGTTTCGCCAGAAGGTGTAGCGCGAGGCTCGAGAGATTATCGAGTAAGGTGCTTACCAGTGGTAGTGGATTTGCCGGAATCGACGTGGCCGATAACGACCAGGTTAATGTGAGTCTTTTCTTCCTTACTGCAGAGCAGAAGATAGGTGCCAGTTAGTCAACTGTAGACTTGCATATGAGAGAGAAGATGGGAAAGATGGATGATTTTACCCCATTGTGAAGGTATTTGGATGAGTCAAAGGAGTTGGAAAGGGTTGATTTCTTGTAGTTCTTAGGAAGAGACTAGAAGAGATCAGGAGAACGCTCAGATACTACGGCCAGAAATGCGTAGAGGTGCTGATGTTCACTGAAGGTTAGTTAGATGAAAAATGAGCGAGAGAGATATGGTAGAGCAAGAGACGGAAATTACGAGAATTAGGACGATGAGTGCAAGGGAAATTTGCAAGAGGGTGATAGTAGAATTTGAGCGGAGGGACAGATACGTGTAAGGGGATAGAAATGGATATGATGGTGGACAAGGGATACTTACTGAAGCAGACGGGGAAGAGAAAGGAGAAAGAAAAAAGGATTTTTGTGCGAGAAGAGGGGGTTTTTGTACGGTTTCAGTGGAAAGAGTCAAGGAGGCGAGTCGCGCTAGGCCCCTTCCGGATGTCACGTGGTGCCCAAACGACGAGGATTCAGCCTCTCCCCCACCCAACCTCTGCGTACTCCCGCTTTTCATTTTCATATGGACTTTATAGTTAACGAAAAAAATTCAGTCCGCTGGTATGTAGTGATGTACCATGGCAAAGGCCCCTCCCCTGGCTTCCGAGTTATCTACCTACATTATCCCAAGTTTATTATGTTGTTTGTTCTCTCGTCTCTTGCCTTATTTTTTCATGAATCTCGCCCCATGGCCGTTTGTTGAGGGAGCATTGGGGCGAAAGCAATTGCACCCTGGCGCATCCAGGGTTTGGCAATGCGCTGGCATGAAAAAATAAGCGGTACCTCATTTTCTCTCTCCCTCCCTGCTACCATCAATCATGCTCGACTACTTCATTAACTATAATATTCCAACTACTGTTGTTTCATGCAAGGGGCTGAACTTCTAAAGCGACCTCTTTACATTTGACTGAATACTCTTTCCCACGGTTCTCAGTCATCAGTGATACATGTAACCGATTAGTTATGTTACTACATTGAAGATATTTTTCCGCGGACAGATCTTATAATAATATTTGTTGATATGTATAAAGTATGGCTCTCTATGTAGAAGCAATGCTTATAGAAATAAAAATAGCAATATAAAAACAGAGAAAGACTCAATAAAAAGAAAACTCCTCCGTCAGTCTGTGCCCTTGGTCCGATCTCAAATTCCTCTTGAGAAAGTCCCCATGAAAAGAGTACACTCTAAGCTATGCGCCTGATACATCACACAACAGAAGACCAACAGCTCCTCAAAATCGAAACAAGCAGCTAACGCAGCAAGCGCTGTCATGTAGGTCTATCTCTAATTTTCTCTCCATCGAGCCCCACACGTAGTGCACTGTAATTATTGCAAACTCAGTATTGAATGCTTCAATCCCAAAAAGCTAAGGTGGGGTTTGGAATGACAAGGGTAAACGGCAGTCCATACCTTTAAAAACGTGGTCATCGGCTCATCTGCACTTCGTATCTGCAGCTGATAGAAAAATGCCCGGTCACCATCGCAGCCTTCAGCGGGGCATTGTGCTGTTATATCATATGACGAACAATAATCAGTATACACATGTACTCAGCAGGTATTAAGGGGAATCCTAGAAGATAAATATCCCGGAGAATGATATATGCTTGGGTTGAAGGGAATCGCAGCAGAATATACTGCAGCGGTGGAAGGCTCACTTCCTATGCTATCAGCATTCTTCCACTCGTCTTTTCCTCCCAGCACATCCGCAACCTCCTTCCGCTTCATTTCTGTTCGTTCATAGTACGTCCGATCGAGAATGTACTGGTACGGGCAGGTGCGGCATTCGAATCTATTCACGCCCAGAGGATAGCGGGAAGTGGGCTCTGCGCGGGAAATGGTGAGGGCATTGCTGCAGTTTGGGCAAACTGATATATATATATATATATATATATATACGGACCCGGTCAGGAACATCGTTGCGAGTCATTAGACAAAGATGAAATACACTAAAGAATGGAACGCACAGGTCAAGGGCATTTTTATATTTGCCAGGAGTTATGCCCTGTTATTTCCAGGAAAGAAATCAACGTCAGCCCAGCTACATATATATATGAGTAGATAGCAGAACCATATCTAAACTGAGCAAATCCCAAAAAACGAAATCCGTGGGCCCATTGCATTCTGTCGTCATCATCAAGAGAAGACATCGAGCGAGTTGAAATGTTCCGCGCGGCTATCTCGGCTATAAAAATGAATTGAACAGGCGCGACATATTTTACTACGCGGGAGCGGAATATCTTTGTTCCTGCGGATTGGATGGCGTAGTCCATTGATATGTTATCTAAATATCTAAACAACATGACAAAAAAATAAAATAAAATAAAGACTACAGCATATATGAAAAATCTCTCTTTAGCTGGTCTGGGAATGCCAGGATAACACTCATTCTGGTGGCTCTGGTTACTGCTGCGTATAACACTCTCTTAGCTGATTTTGTCCATCCTAATCATTTACTGCTCCCCGCCCTGTTCTCATCCCCGCCTCTTAGCCTTCAAAGCTGAAGGCTTCATTGTAAGTGTTTACCCATTGTTTGACTTGAATTGTACCCTATTTAGCTCATTGCTAATCTGACAGGAATTTTAGTCATTTCCTTCAAGTAGTTACGAATCTCACAGATTAGGCCTGCTTTGAGCTCAGACACCCCTCTCTTGACAAACACTGAGTGTGCAGCAACAGACTGATATCATACACACACGAGTCATGGCAAACAACAAAGAAGCTGGTGATGAGGTATGCCAATCCTATATTGCCTTCATCATACCAAAATTAATCAAGCCAACATAACCTGCTTTCTGGAAACTAGGGTGCCAGTCCTGCAGAGAGAGTTTCCGCTGCCTGCCGAGAAGATAACGTAGAAGCTCTAGAGGAAGTCCTGACAGATATGGAAAACGCAAAGAAAACAAATACTGAAATTGCCGAATTCTTCAATGCCGTTACGGACCCTCTGGGAAATCATGCCCTCCATATCTGTGCAATGCATGGCAGTTGTGAGTAGTTATTTTTTTCTTCCCATCTTCATTATTATTTCATCAACCATACTTCATATATATACCCCGTATATTCTCAACAAACTTACCTAACCACCCCCCCCCCCCCCCCCTCCCTCCACTGCACCCTAAACAGACCACGCAGCAGACTTCCTCTTCGACATCGAATTCTTCGAATGTGACCCCAAAACCCGACTCGACAAAGAAACACCCCTCCACCTCGCCGCTCGCTACGCAAGCGATAAAAGCCGATACAATTCCACCACCGACGCCATCACGATGATAAAGATGATGTGCGAAGCGGGCTGTGACCCCCGTGTCCCGAATAAGCGCGGCGACACCCCCTCACGCTTACCGGATATGGTGCCCGAAGAGGTGCGCAAGGAACTGAGGCGGGCGGAATATCTGCTTAATGAGGGACTGGCGGCGCAGCATGATGCGGGTGATGGCGGTGAAGGTGAGGAGGGGGAGGGGGAGGGGGAGGGCGAAAATAGTGCGAGTGATTCTGAATGAGGCAGTGTGGAGGGAAGGGATGGGGAAGTTTAGCTGGGGAATGCCCTCGGCTGGCTTTGTTCTCTATTTTAGCATATGGAAAGCGGGATGGGCGGCGTTGTGTGGAAGGATTGATTATCTGTTTACGAACTCCGTTATTGTTGTTCTTTTCATTTCTTTTTAAAACTGTCTTCCTCCATCTACCTTGTTTTTCTATCCTAGAACAATCACGCATTTGCAGTTATCAGAGAAAGAAAATAAACGGGAAGGAAATCGCTTTAAGCATGTGTACATCCTTTGCTGGTATCTCCATTTATATATATTTCCCCCTTTTTCTTTTA